CCTCACTACAGCCTAAACAGACTATAGCATATAAGTTTGACATCTCTCTCTCTCTCTCTCTCTCTCTCTCTCTCTCTCTCTCTCTCTCTCTCTCTCTCTCTCTCTCTAATGGTCCGTGTATTGGTGTATCAAGGAATACAAACATGCAGGTTATAGATGCTAGGGATGGGAACAAGCAAACACAGAAACAAAGAGCTAAGCAACTTATCTATTCGCCCATTAATGCCTGTCTACACCTCCATGAGAGGCTCTAGTACTACACAGCTATCCCCAAGGTGGAATTCTCCCTGCACCCCCCCCACAGGGGGATTTTCTGCTGCTGCCGCCTGACTGGACTTAATAAGGTAACCCACCGACTGTGCTCTCTGCAGAGCACAGGACCACCGTTGCCTGAAGAGATGAAGGAACCTAGCTGCATGGAATGAGTGTGGTCGGGCGTTGAAGTGCCGCCGAGCAGCCGTTTCCGCCAAGAGCTTCAGAAACTGTGGGACCTCCGCGCATGGGCACCCATACGTCTCAACCGCCAGGGGGGAAAAGGCAACCGTGTCAGGGCGGCTGGCATAATGGCTGATCTTCTTGTCGGCTTGTTCCCTGGCCGCCCAACCCCTTCCCTTGGTGGCTTGTGGGTCCCTGGTGCTGATCGGGTCGGTGATGGTGACGTCGCAGATGTACACCGCCCCCGAACTCTTATCACGTAGTGTCAGGTCTGCCGTTTGCTCTTCTACCGGGCAGTATGCTGCAGATTCTCCGTGAACTATGAAGCCGGCGTCCTTTGCCATCGAGATGCAAGCGTCACGAAGTTCATTGTGAGTATTAATCCTGTGCTTGCCAGTCCCGCAGCGGAAGAGGTGATTCGGCAGCCGTGGGTCAGTGATTTCAACGTGCTTAGAGCAGTCACACTTCGCGGGTGTAGAGAAGGGGAGGCCTAGCCTGAAGCGGACCGCGTTTGCGAAGTGAGGAGGGCCTACACGGCGGGTAGGTTCTATCGGGATAGCGGTTAGCCAGTCCCCTGTGCCGTAGCCTGTCAGGGAGATAAGCCGTTGGGTGTGGCCTGACAGTGGGTTGAGACTCATGTGTCGTGTAGCCCGCACTTGCGTGGCATATCTACTCCCCTGCACCCGCACCCCAAGCTCGTGTTGCAGTTTCAGCCCCTTTGGCTCCAGCCTCTCTCTCTCTCTCTCTCTCTCTCTCTCTCTCTCTCTCTCTCTCTCTCTCTCTCTCTCTCTCTCTCTCTCTCTCTCTCTCTCGTTTTTCTCTCTCGTTCTCTATCTCTCATTCTCTCTCTCTCTCGTTCTCTCGTTCTCTTTCTCTCGTTCTCTCTGTCTCTTGTTCTCTCTCTCTCGTTCTCTCTCGCGCGTTCTCTCCCTCTCGTTCTCTCTCTCGTTCTCACTCTCTCGTTCTCTCTCTCTTGTTCTCTCTCTCGTTCTCTCTCTCTCTCGTTCTCTCTCTCTCGTTCTCTCTCTCTCTTGTTCTCTCTCTCTCGTTCTCTCTCTTATTCTCTCTCTCTCTCTCGTTCTCTCTCTCTCGTTCTCTCTCTCTCGCTCTCTCTCTCTCTCGTTCTCTCTCTCTTGTTCTCTCTCTCGCGTTCCCTCTCTTGCGTTCGCTCTCTCTCGTTCTCTCTCTCTCTCGTTCTCTCTCTCTCTCATTCTCTCTCTCTCTCCAATGGCCCTTTCATTGATAGTTTAAGGTGAACAGACATGCAAGGTATAGGTATCACACTACTGGTGCTAATTCCATAATACACTTTCTCCTCACTCCTCAGCTCAGCACCCTCTAAGCCAGGTCTGGTGCAGGATCAAGAACCGAGAGGCAATCCCCAAGGGACGGGGCCTCCCTTGCTGTCTTGAGTAGCGGGTTTTCTACCGCTGCTGCTATGTTGCACTTTTCCAAGTACCCAATCGACTGCCCCCTTTGAAGAGCCACCGACCAACGCTGCCAATATTGGTGTAAGAGCTTGGTAGCTTGGTAGGAGGAGGGCTCGGCATTGAAAAACCGCCGTGCAGCTGTTTCTGCGAGCAGCTTCAGGAAGTCAACCGACTCCGGGCATGGGCACCCATATGTCTCGACCGCGAGTGGGAAAAACTTCACCCACTCTGGGCAGTCCTTGTAGAGGCCGTGTTTCTTGTCTGCCGCTTCCCGTGCCGCCACCCCCGCCCTTTGGTTGCATTCTCATCGCGGGTGCTGATGGGATCGGTTACCATCACGTCACAAATGTAGATGGTGCCGGTAGAGCGGTCACGTAAGGCTAGGTCCGCCTTCTTCTCCTCCACTGGGCTGAAGGCGGCCGTTTCAAGATGCACCATGCATCCTGCATCTCGTGCCATCCGTGCACATTCGTCTCTAAGTTCATTGTGTGTGTTGGTACACCCCCTCCCCTGTCCCGCACCGTAGCAGGTGGTTCGGGAGCCGTTTATCAAGGATTTGCACTTTCTTCGAGCAGTTGCAAACCCCGGGAGTTGCAAAGGGGAGCCCCAGCCAAAACTGGAGCACGTTGGCATAGTGGGGAGCCTCAAGGCATAGCGGGGGGAAGAGGGGCACAACATTTAACCAATCTCCCGCCCCGTACCCTGACAGGGACAACATCCGTTGTGTGTGACCATTGTTGGGGCTCGGGCCCAGCCCCCGCACCTCCTCCACCTGCACAGCATACCGCTGGCCCTGAATAGCCGTGGCCAGCCCATGCTGCGGCTTTCCTGCAGTTGGAGCTGTTCTCTCCGCTAGCAGAACTTCTTGGGCTGGCAGTGGAAGTTCCTCCTCGCATTCCGCTAGCCATTCAGTCAAAGGGGAGGTCTGAGTGTAGGGGCCACACATCAGCTCGCGGGTAACCTCCAATGGGCCGGTGCACTTGCTGTTCAGTGAGTCAAGCAGGAGCTGCGCCTGCCTGTAGCTGGCGAGGAAGCCATAGCGGCCTTCCATAGAGGGGTCCGTCAGCCCGAGGCCACCAAGTGACACAGGGAGTGAGGCCTACGCCCACGTGCATGATGTTTCCACATCTCTGCACGGGTGGTTAATGCCACACGCCGTTAAGATAGTTTCCAGTAGCCGCCGTCCCCAGTCAGACCATTCCTCCTTGGGCAGGAACGGCAGTGGCGTCGTGCATGCTAGGTAAGACACTCGGCGAGAGATGCACCGAGACAGCAGCACTCTCGCTAGCTGCGGCTCCATCCGCTCAATCAACCCTAGCGGCGCACCCATCACCTCTAGGCTGGACCGTACGAAGGCGGAGGTTGCTGTGGGGGTGCCAATGTAGCTGCCCAGCACTTTCAAACCATCTCTGCTGGGTGGAACTCCTTCAGGTAGGCGACAGTCGATGGGCGTCCTGCCTGACCATGCCCCGCACTTAGCAGGGTTGTGGCTGAGCCCAATTTCTGCCAGGCTACCCGTGAAGTGGACAAAGGCAGCTGCGCACGACGACGGCTCTCCTAGGAAGGTGACGTTGTTGGCGTAGGCCAAGCAGATGACCTCTGGGTGTGCCTCCGCAATTGCCTTCAAAGCTGGGTGCATGGCAGCAGCAAAAAGAAGGGGGCCGAGGGGATCCCCCTGGCGGACCCCAGTTTCACTGTGCAAGGGCGGGTGGTCAAAGGCTACATCCAGGTGCAGTGTGGAGGGTTGGCCGTAGGAGAAGCGTACTAATGGCAGCAGTGGTTCTAACTTTGAGCCTTTCAGGGCCGTCGCTATGGCGTGGCGGTCAACGCTATTGAACGCGTTAGCCAAGTCAGCCTGCAAGACCAATGCGTCTTGGTTGGCCACGGTGAAAGTTCGAACGACATGAATGACTGCTTCTGCTCCTCCTGGCACGGCCACTCCAATCTGTAGAGGTAAGAAAAATTCTCGTGCCGCTTCCGCCAGCTAGGTAAGTGCTGCTTTGGCTGCTAATCGGAGGATGCACTCGCCTATGGCAATCGGCCTGGTCCCTCTGTCCGGCTTGTCGAGGGCTATCAGACGCGATGCTGTAAGGAGCTTCCCTACTTCCTGGTGCAACTCCCCACGCAGGATTGTGCTGACTAACGCGTGTAAGTGAGAACTAACCATGGCATGCATCAGGGCAGCTTCACGCAGGTGCTCGAACGTCGTGCCAGAGGGGCCTTCTCCTACCCCGTTCTCACATCTCGAGAGAAGCTTTAGGAAAACCTCGCGCGATACTGACAGGTAAGAGTCCGGTTCAGGCTGGGGCCACGGTGTGTCAGGGTGCGAGGCGTTTGGGTGTTTGGCGCGGAGGGATTCCAGAACGACAGGGGATGGCTTGCTGACAGGAGTGGCCTCCAGTGCCATGACTGCTCTCCGCAGACTGCCACGTCGCGCCAGTCCTTCTGCTCTGGAGATTGCCCCCAGGTCATCTGGCTTGTGTCTTGGGGGGGGAGGAAAATCCAACGAATCCACTGTTTCCAGGTTTAGCGATTCCCACTCCCCTCGCAGGAGTGCTGGTCGCCTTCCAGTCAGGGTGTCTCGGTGAATGCTAATGCAGCGTCAGGCAAGCGGCAAACAGCAGAACCGTCCAGGCCTGAATGGAGTCAGGGTCGCGTGCGAGTCGTAGCAGTGGTGTCAGAATTACCATTGCAAAGAGAAGGCGCAGTTTTTCTGGAAGGCGACGTGCTAGTGGTGTGTTGCGACTGTCGCGTAGCTTGACCAGATTCCAATGACTGACGCCTGCGAAAAGCGTGTCGTCCTTGGCGAGGGCTTTGGGTGATCTCTGGGGGGGGAATTGGGGCTGCCGTTGGTTACCCCTCGCTGTAGTTCGCGGTGCAATTGCAGGTGATGGTGTCCGGTTTGGTAGGGCGGATTGGTTGGCATTAGTGGCAGGGTGGTCGGAAGCGGTTCGGTTCTATGGAGAGGGTCGCGGTTGGGTGGGTGTATTTCTCAAATTTCTTGCCGCGCTCCGGGCGTGGGTTGAGCTGACTCTCTGCCAAGTTGGAGTTTGTGACTGGGCCTCCTCTGAGGCATTCAAACTTAGGGGCGAGACTGCTTCTTCCTCCTCCACCTCATAAATACTCCCCGACACTATGTCTTCTTCATTAGCTCTTACTAACTCGATTAAAGCCCTTAGAGCTGCTCTCTGGAACGTATTCTCCGGTCCACCCTCACGCGTACCCCTACCACGCCCGCGACCTCCAGCTCGTCCCCCACGCGTCCGCGCACTGACTGCGGCCGGCAGCGGACTTTTGCGACTACCTCCTCCTGTGCTCTAACACCCCCGTGCATCCTCCAGCGCTTGCTGGTGGTGCGTTCGGCGTAATGGCGACTGAAGCGGAGAAGTTGGCGGTAAACCAAGGTCACACCGCTGAGAGCGTGCATGCTCTGCCTCCGGCCCCTGCTGCTGCCGCTGGTGGTGCTCCCCCGGCTCTTCCTGCCGCTGCTGCGGCATCGACAATTCCTGTCCCACTAGCCCCTGCCCCCCCACCGAGCCTCTGCCTTCCTCGCGATGTCCCCGTGTCTGGCGCGTCGGCTCCCATTGCAATGCAGACGCCTGTGGCGCTGCCGCCTGTCCAGGCTGCCGTGGGGGGCCCCGCGGAGGGGAAGGCGGTGGGCGCCGGCCCCGACTCTGCACACTTGGTGGCCCCCGCGGCTGCACCGGTACATCCCGTCGCGCAGCGGTATGCAGAGTCACAGAGTCATGGTGCCGCTGGGGGCAATGCGGCGGCGCATCGGGGGCGAGGTTCTCCTCGGCGTCGCCCCTCCTCGTCGTACCGGTCCGCGCATCGCGGTGGTCGCGGTGGCTGGTGGGGAGGTCGCGGTCGCGGGCGTGGTGGGCCAAGCGACATGCAGCAGCTGCGCGAGGATTTCCTGGAGATGTGGGCTGCGGCAATGCGCGCTGCTCTGACGGGTGCGCCGAATCTTGAAAGCTCGCTGGCTCCTGCTGCAGCAGTGCACGCCACCGCTCCAGTGTATGCGTGTGCTCTGCCGACCTCCCTCGTGGCTCCTGCGCCAAACGATCAGGCGTACTCGCAGGTTCATGCTCCTGCTGCTGATCGTGCTCTGCCTGCTTCCGTGCGTCCTGTTTCTGCTGCGCCGTAGGCGTAGCGGTCTCGCAGCTGGACAAGACTGTCCAGGATCTGACATGGCACCTCCGCGAAGGAGGCGCTGTTGAAGCTGTCGGCGCGACCGCGTTAGTGGTCCGACAGCTGTGGAGGACCATGCGTGGAATCCTCGCGGCCCTTGATGCCCATTTGATGTAGTCTCTGGCACCCGCCGCCCGTAGACCCGCTGCATTTCGCTTCTTAGTAGATGTGCGCGAAGGCCTTGCTGTTGTCTGCCACGTTTGTTGTTCTTGCCGTCAGCCAGTCGTCCTTGTTAAATCTCTTGTCATCCCAAACGCGCGGCAGCAGGCCGCGCCGGCGCGAAGCGCCAGAAAAAACTGAAACACCAAATGAAGAATGAGCTAGAAGGGAGGCCAAGGGGGCATTATATAGCTGGGGAAGAGAGGGGAAGAGCCTAGGAGGGAAGAGACTAAGTCCCTTGCTTCTCTCTCTCTCGCTCTCTCGAACGAGCCGGAAAAAACTGAAACACCAAATGAAGAATGAGCTAGAAGGGAGGCCAAGGGGCCATTATATAGCTGGGGAAGAGAGGGGAAGAGCCTACGAGGGAAGAGACTAAGTCCCTTGCCTCTCTCTCTCTCGCTCTCTCGAACGAGCCGGAAAAAACTGAAACACGAAATGAAGAATGAGCTAGAAGGGAGGCCAAGTGGCCATTATATAGCTGGGGAAGAGAGGGGAAGAGCCTAGGAGGGAAGAGACAAGTCCCTTGCTTCTCACTCTCTCTCTCTCTCTCTCTCTCTCTCTCTCTCTCTCTCTCTCTCGTTCTCTCTCTCTTTCTCTCTCTCTCATTCTCTCTCTCTCTCTCTCTCTCTCTCTCTTGTTCTCTCTCTCTTTCTCTCTCTCTCGTTCTCTCTCTCTCTCTCGTTCCCTCTCTCTCTCTCTCGTTCTCTCTCTCTCGTTCTCTCTTTCTCGTTCTCTCTCTCTCGTTCTCTTTCTCTCGTTCTCTCTCTCTCTAGTTCTCTCTCTCTCGTTCTCTCTCTCGTGTTCTCTCTCTCGTGTTCTCTCTCTCTCGTTCTCGTTCTCTCTCGTTCTCGTTCTCTCTCTCTCTCTCTCTCTCTCTCTCTCTCTCTCTCTCTCTCTCTCTCTCTCTCTCTCTCTCTCTCTCTCTCTCTCTAATGGTCCGTGTATTGGTGTATCAAGGAATACAAACATGCAGGTTATAGATGCTAGGGATGGGAACAAGCAAACACAGAAACAAAGAGCTAAGCAACTTATCTATTCGCCCATTAATGCCTGTCTACACCTCCATGAGAGGCTCTAGTACTACACAGCTATCCCCAAGGTGGAATTCTCCCTGCACCCCCCCCCACAGGGGGATTTTCTGCTGCTGCCGCCTGACTGGACTTAATAAGGTAACCCACCGACTGTGCTCTCTGCAGAGCACAGGACCACCGTTGCCTGAAGAGATGAAGGAACCTAGCTGCATGGAATGAGTGTGGTCGGGCGTTGAAGTGCCGCCGAGCAGCCGTTTCCGCCAAGAGCTTCAGAAACTGTGGGACCTCCGCGCATGGGCACCCATACGTCTCAACCGCCAGGGGGAAAAAGGCAACCGTGTCAGGGCGGCTGGCATAATGGCTGATCTTCTTGTCGGCTTGTTCCCTGGCCGCCCAACCCCTTCCCTTGGTGGCTTGTGGGTCCCTGGTGCTGATCGGGTCGGTGATGGTGACGTCGCAGATGTACACCGCCCCCGAACTCTTATCACGTAGTGTCAGGTCTGCCGTTTGCTCTTCTACCGGGCAGTATGCTGTAGATTCTCCGTGAACTATGAAGCCGGCGTCCTTTGCCATCGAGATGCAAGCGTCACAAAGTTCATTGTGAGTATTAATCCTGTGCTTGCCAGTCCCGCAGCGGAAGAGGTGATTCGGCAGCCGTGGGTCAGTGATTTCAACGTGCTTAGAGCAGTCACACTTCGCGGGTGTAGAGAAGGGGAGGCCTAGCCTGAAGCGGACCGCGTTTGCGAAGTGAGGAGGGCCTACACGGCGGGTAGGTTCTATCGGGATAGCGGTTAGCCAGTTCCCTGTGCCGTAGCCTGTCAGGGAGAAAAGCCGTTGGGTGTGGCCTGACAGTGGGTTGAGACTCATGTGTCGTGTAGCCCGCACTTGCGTGGCATATCTACTCCCCTGCACCCGCACCCCAAGCTCGTGTTGCAGTTTCAGCCCCTTTGGCTCCAGCCTCTCCATGTCAAGTATGTCTCTAGCTTCTTGTGGAAGCGATGTCTCGCACTCCCCCAGCCACTGGTGTAAGGCGGTTGTGGGATCTCGAGGTAGGAGCATGTGGTCTCTGGCCGCCATCAGTGCTTCCTCTGTTTCTAGCGGTAGTGAGCTTAGTAAGAGGCTAGACTGTATAAAGCTAGCCAGGTAGCCGAAACGGCCTTCCACCGTGGGGTCCGATAGTCCAATACCGCCTAGTGACGGTGGGAGTGAGGACTGTTCCCAAACCCGACTCTGTTCTGTGCTGTCCGCCGGGAATCGAATGCCACATGCTGTGAGAAGCGTGGCGAGGAGGTCCATACCCCACTGGGACCAGGTGTCATGGTTCAGGAGATTTAGCGGGGTCGTTCGTATGAGGTATCCTACACGGCGGCAGATGCAGCGTGTGAGGAGGAGGGAAGCTATCTGCGGGTCTAGGCGCTCGATCAGAGGTAGTGGCCTTGTCATGTCTTGTAGCTGGGCTGCTAGGAAGGCAGCAGCGCCTTCCGGTGTGCCTAGGAAACTGCCCAAAAGTTTAACGCCCGCATCACTAGTAGGGACTCCTGTCGGCAGTCGTACTGAACTATCTAGCGGCTGTCTGCTCCATGCGGCACATTTGTCGGGGTTGTGTCGCAAACCCAATTGAGCTAGCTGACTGGTAAAATGGGAGAAAGCTGCGACAGCCTCCTGTGGTTCGCCCAGGAAGCTCACGTCATCGGCGTATGCCAGGCACAGCACGCCGGGGTGCAGTGCTGCTGTTGTTCTTAGTGCAGGGTGGATCCTAGCCGCAAAAAGTAGCGGCCCTAAGGGATCGCCCTGCCGGACCCCACGCTCGCTGAGTATAGGCCGGCTGTTGAAGTTCGCGTCCAGGTACAGTAAGGATGGTTCCCCGTAGGTCAGTTTTACTAGCGGCAGTAGTGGTGATAGGGCCGGGTCCTGTAATGCTGTCACTATGGCTTGTCGCGAAATGGTGTTGAAGGCGTTGGAGATGTCAGTTTGCAGAATGAGGCAGTTGGGGTGATTGTCAGTGTATGCACGTGCGCTGTGGATGATTGCCTCCGCTCCCCCTGGTACTGCGACACCGTACTGCAGCGGAAGAAAATAGCCGCGTGCCGCCTCGCCAAGAGTTGACAGTGCGGCTTTTGCCACCAGTCGGGTCAGACATTCGCCGACTGCAATTGGTCGAGCCCCTCCTTCAGGTTTGGCCAGGGCAATCAGGCGGGAGGATGTGAGTAAATCCGCGATTGATTGCGGCAGTTTTCCTTTCAGAGTCGTATTCACCAAGGCATGGAGATGGGTGGAGACAGATGCATTTGTTACTGACGCGTCGCGTAGGTGTTCAAAAGTCATTCCGCTCGGGCCGGCCCCCACCCCATTCTCGCATCGGCTGAGCAACTTCGAAAATTCCACGTATGCGATCTCGAGGTAGGGTTGGTCAGCGTTGACTGGCCAGGTCAAAGGGTCGGGGTCCGCCGGTGGGTGTTTGTCCCGGAGTTCATCCAGGATTTCTGGACAGGGCGTGCAGACCGGCGTTGACTCGAGCGCCATCACGGCTCGGCGCAGGCTCCCCTTTTTCGCCAGGCCCTCCGCTCTGTTGATGATTCCGACTTCGTCAGGCTGGTGACGTGGCGAAGGTGGTGTGTTGACTGCTTCCACCGCATCCATGTACAGCTGTTGCCACTCGCCGCGTTGAAATGCTCGGAGACGCGCTTTGATTTTGGGCCAATCTGGGCGCCTTGGCGAAGCTTGTCGCAGCGTGAGGCGAGGTAAAAATAGGAGTAACTTCCATCCCGCGACGGAGTCAGGGGTTCGCGAGAGATGCAGGAGTGGTGTCAGGACCACGAGCGAGAATATCTCGCACAGATTTGGCAGTAGCCGTCGTAACAGCATGGGTTGGCGACTATCGCAGAGCGGTGTAATGTCCCATTCTGCCACTTCGGCAAATTTGTCAGCCTGCCTCGCCAGTTCCTCTGGCGAAAAGTAGCGGGGGTTTTGAGGCTGGCAAGTCGCCCCCACCTGACCCCTCATGGCCCGATTTCCACGTCCGCGACCCGTAGCACGAGTAACAGGCGCGATTGGAATCGTGGCCGTTCGATCGGCATCATGTGGCCCCCGTGTGTTGCCTGACTGTGCTGTCGTTCCTCCACGGCGTCCCCTGCTTCCTCTCGTCAAGTACTCTCCCTCCTCGTTCTCCTCCTCGCTGTTGCTGGTCGGGGCTTGTTCCTCCTCCCTATAAGAAGGGTCGGTTTGCTCCTCCGGATCATCATTCCCGTCTAGACGAATTAAAGCCCTACGTGCAGCCGCCTGGAACGCATTCTCCGGTCCGCCTTCCACTCTCCGCCCTTCCCGGCGTTCTGCTCCTCGTCTCCTCCCGCCTCGCGATGGTGATTGCTGGCGACTCGTGGACATCGCCAAAGCCCGCTGCCTCTGCGTCAGGGGCGAGCGGAAGGTCAGCACCGGTGTCTGCCTCGGGGAGTGTTGCAATGAAGCCGCCAGTCCCCCCTGCCCCGAAACTAGCCCCCTTGGCCGCCGGTTGCCCTGCGCCTCCGGCTCCGGGCCTCGTGTCGTGTGAGACGCAGTCTGCTCCGTACCATCCTGCTCTCCCAACCCCTGCTGTTGTTCCGCCTGTCCCTGTGAACCCTACGGCACCGACTGCTGCCGCTGATCCTGCTCCACCAGTTGCACCTGCTCTTGACGCCCCGATGGTCGGCGCTGCCCCTGCTGGCGCCGTGGCGTCGCAACCGGTGGTATCCGCCACCACTGACGACCCGGGCCAGGTGGCAGTCTCTGTTGCTCCCGCCCCTCCGACTGCACCGCCTCCCGTGCCGGCCCCGGACTTCCAGGCGGTGCCTGATCCTGCGCCACTCGCTGCTGTTCCCCCAGCTCAGCGTCAGCCGTCTCCGGGCCGCCGGCAGCATCGGCCTCACTCTCCTGCGGCCCGGGACGAGCGAGAGACGACGCGGCGGCGACACGATTCTCCTCGGCGCCGAGGGTCACAGGCGAACTGGGCTGCGTCACGTGGCGGTCGCGGTGGCTGGTGGGGGGGGCGCGGTCGTGGTGGTGGCTGGGCGTATGACCAGCCAGTAACGATGGCTGATTTACAACGTGTTGTATCTGATGCGGTGCGACTGGAGCGAAACGGGCAGGCGAGCCAGAGCAACTCGCCGCGCGTCGCTCCAGCGCATGCGTCCCGTCCTCCGTCTGCGCTCGATGAGCCTGCACCTCCCCTTCCCCAGTCAGCCGTTCCCCCTCCCCTAGCGCCCTCTGCGTCTGCCGCTGCTCGTGGGAACCGGATGCGCCTGCCGTGGGTTCCTCCTGTGGCGGGTATGGAGTTTGTGGCCGCGGCTGGAGGACAGGTGACGGCGCAGTATCCCTCTCTACTGCCTGTTGCTCCTGCTCCTCCGGCTGTATCAGTGCCCGTACAGTCACTGGTGGGGCCCCTTCCGTCAGCCAAAGTGCCGGAGGCATCGCTGGGGCAGCTGTGGCGCCTCTCTGAGGGTCTGCGGGCAGTGCACCTGATTCAGGTGTATGGTCACGCGGCTCTCTCCCAGGGTGCTCATCTGGACCCTGGCCCCCGGGACGAGTGCCTGGATGCCGCGGATCGACTAGCCGAGCTCCTGGCGCCCGTGTTGGCCGCGCCCGCGCGGGGTGGAGTTGCGGGCGTTGGGCAGCTGGGGACGGCGGTCCGTGGTTTGCGCCGGTTGTTGCGCGCTGGCTCTGCCGTCGACTTGATCGGCGCAACGACAGTGGTGGTGCGCGAGCTTCATCGTTCTCTGACGGGTCTTCTCGCTGTCCTTGACGCGGATCAGATGTAGGATCCCCACTAGCTTGTCCCATGTTGTCGCTAGTAGATGAGGCCCCGTGCCATGAGTGTATGCCTTTGCGTTAGTATTGCATCCACCTGGAATGTGCTTGCCGTCCCCTCGTGCGCGGCCGAAGGCCGCGCTGTCGAGCGTCGGCCGCCGAAGGCGGCCGGCGCGAGCCGCTCGGTTAGGGGAGCAGAATGAACCCAGAACTGAATAATGAGGCTCTAGGACAAGGTCCTAGGGCCTTTATACTAGGCTGGAGAGGGCTGGAGAGGCTAAGGACTAGGCCTCTCTCTCTCTCTCTCTCTCTCTCTCTCTCTCTCTCTCTCTCTCTCTCTCTCTCTCTCTCTCTCTCTCTCCTCCGCTCGGTTAGGGGAGCAGAATGAACCCAGAACTGAATAATGAGGCTCTAGGACAAGGTCCTAGGGCCTTTATACTAGGCTGGAGAGGGCTGGAGAGGCTAAGGACTAGGCCTCTCTCTCTCTCTCTCTCTCTCTCTCTCTCTCTCTCTCTCTCTCTCTCTCTCTCTCTCTCTCTCGCTCTCTCTCCTCCGCTCGGTTAGGGGAGCAGAATGAACCCAGAACTGAATAATGAGGCTCTAGGACAAGGTCCTAGGGCCTTTATACTAGGCTGGAGAGGGCTGGAGAGGCTAAGGACTAGGCCTCTCTCTCTCTCTCTCTCTCTCTCTCTCTCTCTCTCTCTCTCTCTCTCTCTCTCTCTCTCTCTCTCTCTCCTCCGCTCGGTTAGGGGAGCAGAATGAACCCAGAACTGAATAATGAGGCTCTAGGACAAGGTCCTAGGGCCTTTATACTAGGCTGGAGAGGGCTGGAGAGGCTAAGGACTAGGCCTCTCTCTCTCTCTCTCTCTCTCTCTCTCTCTCTCTCTCTCTCTCTCTCTCTCTCTCTCTCTCTCTCTCTCTCGCTCTCTCTCCTCCGCTCGGTTAGGGGAGCAGAATGAACCCAGAACTGAATAATGAGGCTCTAGGACAAGGTCCTAGGGCCTTTATACTAGGCTGGAGAGGGCTGGAGAGGCTAAGGACTAGGCCTCTCTCTCTCTCTCTCTCTCTCTCTCTCTCTCTCTCTCTCTCTCTCTCTCTCTCTCTCTCTCTCTCTCTCTCTCCTCCGCTCGGTTAGGGGAGCAGAATGAACCCAGAACTGAATAATGAGGCTCTAGGACAAGGTCCTAGGGCCTTTATACTAGGCTGGAGAGGGCTGGAGAGGCTAAGGACTAGGCCTCTCTCTCTCTCTCTCTCTCTCTCTCTCTCTCTCTCTCTCTCTCTCTCTCTCTCTCTCTCTCTCTCTCTCGCTCTCTCTCCTCCGCTCGGTTAGGGGAGCAGAATGAACCCAGAACTGAATAATGAGGCTCTAGGACAAGGTCCTAGGGCCTTTATACTAGGCTGGAGAGGGCTGGAGAGGCTAAGGACTAGGCCTCTCTCTCTCTCTCTCTCTCTCTCTCTCTCTCTCTCTCTCTCTCTCTCTCTCTCTCTCTCTCTCGCTCTCTCTCCTCCGCTCGGTTAGGGGAGCAGAATGAACCCAGAACTGAATAATGAGGCTCTAGGACAAGGTCCTAGGGCCTTTATACTAGGCTGGAGAGGGCTGGAGAGGCTAAGGACTAGGCCTCTCTCTCTCTCTCTCTCTCTCTCTCTCTCTCTCTCTCTCTCTCTCTCTCTCTCTCTCTCTCTCTCTCTCTCTCTCTCTCTCTCTCCTCCGCTCGGTTAGGGGAGCAGAATGAACCCAGAACTGAATAATGAGGCTCTAGGACAAGGTCCTAGGGCCTTTATACTAGGCTGGAGAGGGCTGGAGAGGCTAAGGACTAGGCCTCTCTCTCTCTCTCTCTCTCTCTCTCTCTCTCTCTCTCTCTCTCTCTCTCTCTCTCTCGCGCTCTCTCTCCTCCGCTCGGTTAGGGGAGCAGAATGAACCCAGAACTGAATAATGAGGCTCTAGGACAAGGTCCTAGGGCCTTTATACTAGGCTGGAGAGGGCTGGAGAGGCTAAGGACTAGGCCTCTCTCTCTCTCTCTCTCTCTCTCTCTCTCTCTCTCTCTCTCTCTCTCTCTCTCTCTCTCTCTCTCTCTCTCTCTTGTTCGCTCTCTCTCTCTCTCATTCTCTCTCTCTCGTTCTCTCCTTCTGGTTCTCTCTCTCTCGTTCTCTTTCTCTCGTTCTCTTTCTCTCGTTCTCTCTCTCTCTCATTCTCTCTCTCTCTCGTTCTCTCTCTCTCTCGTTCTCTCTCTCTCTCTCTCTCTCTCTCGCTCTCTCTCTCTCGTTTGTTCTCTCTCTCGTTCTTTCTCTCTCTCTCTCTCTCTCTCTCTCTCTCTCTCTCTCTCTCTCTCTCTCTCTCGTTCTCTCTCTCTCATTCCCTCTCTCTCAATATCTCTCTCGTTCTCTCTCTCTCTAGTTGTCTCCCTCTCTCGTTCTCTCTCTCTCTCTCTCGTTCATTCTCTCTCTCGTCCGTTCTCTCTCGTTAGTTCTCTCTCGTTCGTCCTCTCTCTCTCGTCCTCTCTCTCACGCTCTCGCCCTCCGTTGTTCTCGCTCTCCGTATTTCGTTATATTCTCTTCTTTTGTTTACTGTCTCGTTATGTGTTTTTCCCTCGGTTCCCATTCCTTACTTTTGTTTTATGCCTTGGTACGTTCTTCTCATTGCCATTTGTCAGCACTAACCCTTCAATACTCACAGCGTTTTTCTTAGCCCTTGTATTGTTTCATTCGTTTCTTTGTTATTCCTTTTTCTAGTCATTTCATCACACCTCATACCCTTTTTTGTTTTATTTTTACCAACTATTTCTTTCCGATCCTCCTTTCCACTTCCTAAACCCGTTTCTCAGGAGCCTTGCTGGTCAGGAATGCGATTTCAATCTGGAAAATGTGTATTGGTCACTGATAGGGATTTATCATATTGTCCTTTAACGTTGATTTGCATGTTATTTATTATCGCGCGTTTATTGTTGGTTTGCCGGTGTTCTTGCTTTTGATTGTGTGAATATGTTTGCTTGTGTGAGTAACTATGTTTGGTGTATGTGTTTTGTCAGAATCCCAGTCACTAGACCACTGGGATAAAAGTGCTTGTTAAGTAGCGGGTCAGTGCGCCCATAACCCCCCAGGACATCGAGCCTGTAACCCTTCCCTAGGATCAATCGGGGATCACCAGTGGACCTCTGACACCCCCCCGCACTGGGATGCCCGAAGTGCACACACTGGGATTCGAACCCGAGACCTTCGCTCTGATAACATGTCAGAATCCCAGTCACTAGACCATAGGGATAAAAGGGCTTATTAAGTAGCGGGTCAGAGTGCGCCCATAACCCCCCAGGCGAACGCGCCTGTAACCCCCCTAGGATCAATCAGGCATCCACAGTACAGATCTACTGACACCCCCCCACACTGGGAGGCCCAGGACTGAGCACAACGGCAACGGCCTACATGTGCATACACCGGGGTTCGAACCCGAGACCACTCTGACACCATGTCAGAATCCCTGTCACTAGACCATTGGGATAGAAGGGCTTGTTAAGTAGCGGGTCAGTGCGCCCATAACTCCCCAGGACAACGAGCATGTAACCCTTTCGTAGGATCAATCGGGGATCACCAGTGGACCTCTGACACCCCCCCGCATTGGGATGCCCGAAGTGCACACACTGGGATTCGAACCCGAGACCTTCGCTCTGATACCATGTCAGAATCCCAACCACTAGACCATTGGGATAAAATGGCTTGTTTCAGTAGCGGGTCAGTGCGCCCATAACCCCCCAGGACAACGAGCCTGTAGCCCTTACCTAGGATCAATCGGGGATCACCAGTGGACCTCTGACACGTTTGTCAGTGTGTGTGTATACGTATACGTACGTATGTGAGTCTGTATGTATGTATGTACGTATGTATGTGTGTATTTGCGTGTGTATGTACCGTTTGTGTAAATTTATACATTGCAATAACGATGCATGTCTGTGATTTTTAACAAAATAGCTCCGGCCTATCATTTCACAAAAGGTTCAGTGGCGCACTCAGTGACTCGTGTGCGACCACTTCGAACTGGATTTGATAGGGTTGACCTTTTTTTTAGACTTCACAGATTGTGTTGTTTCATGTGACAGTTGATTATTCAAAATCTTTGCTATTGTCCTCCCCCCCATGCTAGGCAGGGGACGGCGGTAGCGTAGTTTTTGGGTCGTTAACTGTTACGCATTTTATTATGTGCATACATGTGCATCATGATTCATGGCATTATATTAACTTTATGCATCCTATAGCATTATTCATGCATCATGCATCTATTTATCATTACTACTGTTGGGCTGAGAAAAAGCCCTTAGGATCTTTGCAGGACAGAATTCAAGTGTAGGACAATGTAATAGCGGAAGCGTTTAATAAAGGCTTGTGAACCACCTTGCGCTGGTTGTGAAGAAATGAGGAATGAATTGACTAAGGGAAAGTTGGGTACAAAAGCAAACCCTAGAAAACTGTACCCCATATGTGCTACCCCACTATAGCCTACAGTAGCTATGTCATATAAATCTGACACACCCCCATAGGCAAAGTGGGGGAGAACAAGGGGTCACAAGACCAGTCAAGCAAAGCAAAGCAAGCTCAGGGTGGATCACAAAGTCACCACACATTCCGAGCACAAGTTCAAGGCCACAAGGCCAGTTCACATGCAGGATTACATATATATATAAGGCTAGACAAGCAAGAGCAGGTGTATATATATATGCAACAGTACAAACAAGGTCAAGGGGTGAGCAAGTGAGGCAAGGTAGGCACAAGACCCAGCTGAGTACAGAAGCGCTGATGATCACAAGGCGCAAGTGCCTTGGTGAAGATATCAGCAGTGTTGGCCTCAGAGGCCACGTACGCAAGCCGTAGCTGACCACACTGCTGTAGCTCACAAGCAAGGAAGTAGCGGAGAGCAATGTGCTTCGTTCTGTGCTCCAGTCTCTGCTCTCGACACAAGGCCAGCATGGCCTTGTTGTCTACGTACAGCACTGGAGGAGAACGAGGCGGCTCTCCGAGGTCAGTC